GATCCACCTCCAAAGGCAAAAAGCGGCTCACGGCCTTTTTCCCCTTCACGGCACACAAGTCCTGGGCAGCACGGTAAGGAGACAGGCAGTCTCTTCCCGGCAACGGTTATGGTCCTTGGACCTCCAGTGAATGGGCAAGTCACCCAGCTATGAATGGCCCCCTGGCCAAATGGTGAAGCGGCCTCGCTTCCAAGCTTATGGCTCAGCACGGATGATTTCCCACCCACCTTCAACCCTGGGCCCTCCGGAGCCACGTGTGCTTTGGAAAACAAGTGCTGTGTAAACCCCGGGTTTTTTGGTAAAACATCTTTTATAGGTGGTTTCTCATGGGACCTCGCAATGATGTAGAATCACAATATATATATATATATATATGTATATGTATACATAATATATATGTATATAATATACATACATTATATATATATACACCTGGACATCCAAAAACTGCATTTTTTTGGTCTGGACTGAAAAGTAGTGAGCGACCAAAAATCGAACAATTGCTGATTTTGCCCTCTGTCAGTCACATTTAGAAGGACCAAAAATATGATGTAAAATGATGCAAAAAAACGCAAAAGACCAACTTTTTGACACCACAACTGTGTCATTGAATCCATCAAACCCACAAGTGATTTTTAGGCCTGCACCTGAAAATCCACAAAGATCGAAAACTATGCGGCTCAAGGACTGTCCAGGTATGTAATTATATATAGACAGTTATAGACAGAATATAATGTCAGCGTTCCTTCTGGCCCAGGCTGTCTGCGTCACTGCGAGCCTCAGTGTCGGCTTTGGAGTGGAGAGCTGCCTTGTGCTCGTTGTATGAGGGCCGGCAGGTCCGCAGACCGCCCGTTGTGATTCTTCGATTTGAAATCACGTGGGAAATTTTTTAATTTGTTTTCTTTAATGCAACAAAATGTCATAATGTGGGGAAAAAATGCAGAATGGTTTGAATCATGCAGGCGAGGATCGAAACCTGTACGTTAGGGGTCCTCAGATGGTAAGACTTGACGAGTTGTAAAACCTTTGGGACTTTGGGACCGCTGGACCGAGGGACTGGGATGTAGCCAAGGTCTCGCTTGCATGGCCTGGCAGTCAAAGCTTCAGGCAGTAAACAGTGGCAGAGGCGGGATAGGGGTGAGAAGTAGCTATGCCCAGCGGCCATTGGCCAGAAAGGTGATTCAAAACAGCAACTGAACAACAATCGAACATCGACCAGAAAGGTGATTCAATATCCGCAACTATATTTCTCTGACTTCTTTGCTGTCCCAACGTAGGGAAAAACTGGAGATAGAGATAATCAGAGAAGGAATGGAGTCTTGCAATGGAGCTCGAGCCAGCACTTTTTCCGAGCTTCAGGGAAAGGTGGCGTGCAAGATCCCCCCAAACATTTAAAGGGTTGCTTCTTGTTTTGCGATCTGTTAATGCTATTAGCAAAAGGTGCTCTAGGTCTTTAGGCTTGTGATGTGTGTTCCATGGCCAGGTGCATCCAACTGCTCTTCACTGTCCCGAGATCGTTGGTCGGCGTGCAGCTCTTCAATCAGGAGCCTGGTTGAAGTTGGGTGATTGAGTGCAGGTTGAGCCAGCTGAGTTGAAATGGTGATGCAAAAGGTCTATCCAAACAACTTTAACCCAAATCAGGTGGCGAGCGGTGTGGAACTGGCGCAATGGGCCCTGTCACTGCAAGTCCTTGAAGAGGTGCAGGGGCAGCCTTTTGTCCAACATCATTCAGTATGGGACAGTACCGACGTGAACAGGTAGTGGCTTGTTGAGTCTGATTCCCAATCAGATTCCCAAATCATTCCCCAGTGCAGCACATTGTAGGCCTACACTGAACCTTGGTGAAGGTGCTTCCACAGGTCCATATGGATCATACGCTGTCCATGCGGGGTCCATTCTTGTCCATAGGCACTGCAGAGGGGCCACTGGAGTGTCGTCAGCTCCAACGCTGCCATCCGCGCGGCTTCGCGCCATGGCTGGAAATTTGCAGCAGCAACGCTGGTGCAGAAGGTGGGCAGCAGTTCTCGGCACGCCATAGCCCATTTATCTTCAGATTTGCCAGTGATCCATTGATGTTTTATGGGTTCATTTCCATTGCTGTGTTCTTCCCTGGCAATGTATAAGGAGGAATTTGCAAACGAAAGATCATGGATCCATTGAAACTGCTGCACCGGCGCGTGCTCTGTTGGATGAATCGGTTCAGGAGGAAACGCGTGGTCATAGCGACATCATCTCGTGGAACTCTGTTTCTCAGATGCAGGGAGAACATCTACATGTTGGAAGCATTGGCTCTCCCCATGTGATGTGTGAAGATGATATCTGATAGTGGTGATGTAGGCGCGTCTGAAAATCCGGTATGTATTATATAATTACCCTTAAGTTGTGATTTCAATGGAGTAAATGATAGACTCTGATAGACCATAGGATTTTTTTTCCTAGATTTTCAGACAGACCCATATGATGTCATATGAGACTTATTATGGCCATTTATTGGTCTGGAGGTTCCAGCATGTTCCAGTGTTTTTCAGGTCATGGCGGCATCTTCGCATGCAAGCCAAGCGGATAAGGTGCTTTTTTTGCTGCAGGACACATCACACACGGGACTGTAAGGTCACACTAGATGGATCCTCACATTCTTTTGAGGGGGAAAACCTGGATAGGTGATACACCGTCAGATTCCCTATTCTGAGGCCAACCCAGGTGGGGATCCAGCACAGATGTAGATTTCTTGAAGACATTTCCGCCCAGTCCCAGACTGTTGTTTTGCAGCTCAGTGCCGCTTTCAAGTTGTGTCTTTGCAGCATCGCAATCTGCATTGCAACCATTCATCAAGACACACGAGAAAGATTTCACCGGCAGTGTGAGTACTGAACTGGAGCACTGGGATCCATTGTGTGCGTTTGAACAGATGGATTGTGATGCATGCAAGACAAATGCAGACACAAATGTGATCATACAAGTCAAGTTTTGTGCCACAAAACCTCCATGCTACACAATGGCAGGCAAACTGAGACCCGGACCAAAGGTCAACATTTTACCAAGTGACTCCACCTAGAAACGGAGCAAAGCAGACCTGTTGCTGGACTCAACCAGGATCTCCAGCTTCGTGGGCAGCAAGCAGATTTGGTGTCCTTCAACACTGCCCTGGATGCCTGTGCCGAGGCTCTCTTTTGCGACATACAACCGTGGACAATGAGTGGCTCTCTTTTCAAAATCCCTGGTGGTTGATGATTTTAGGGGGTTACACTCGGTTACACTACCCGAAAAGATTGGGGTCAGAATCCACTATGCGAGTCACCATTAACCAACCAGTAGAATGGAATGACAGAGAGTTTTGACGCACATTTGTAGAACATATTGTGAAACTCACAGTGTCTTCAATGCTTACAGGGCTTACAGTGTTTGCCGTGTGAAACCGATTCTAGGCAGCTTTCACAATGGATGAGCTCTTCAATGATGCATGATTTGGGCTTATTAAAGTGCATTGTGAAGAGAGTTTGGAGAAGTCTTGAAAGCTTTGCAAGTTTGCAGCAAGGCTAGACTTTGGACTACATCGCAGCTTAGCTGTCATTATTGGTTCTCCATGTCGCAAGTTATTTTTCCTAGTTTTTCAGACACACTTATACTCACTCAAATGCTTTGGCACAGAACCAGTATCAGGGCTTGTGGACATGGCATGATTCTGAACTGACTCGACTGACTTTGGTGGCTCTCCTAATGTTTGCGCTGATCTATCTATATATCTATCAATCAATCTATCTAAATCTAATCTAATCTAAATCTAAATCTAATCTAATCTAGTCTAATCCAATCTAGTCTAATCTAATCTATTCAATCCAATCTCTCTAATTCTATCTAATTCTATCTAATTTTATCTAATTCTATTTAATTCTATCTAATTCTACCTAATTCTATCTAGTTCTATCTAGTTCTATCTAGTTCTATCTAGTTCTATCTAGTTCTATCTAATTCTATCTAATTCTATCTAATTCTATCTAATTCTATCTAATTCTATCGAATTCTATCGAATTCTATCTAATTCTATCTAATTCTATCGAATTCTATCGAATTCTATCGAATTCTATCCAATTCTATCTAATTCTATCTAATTCTATCTAATTCTATCTAATTCTATCTAACTCTATCTAATTCTCTTTAACTCTATCTAATTCTCTTTAACTCTATCCAATTCTATCCAATTCTATCTAATTCTATCTAATTCTATCTAATTCTATCTAATTCTATCTAATTCTATCTAACTCTATCTAATTCTCTTTAACTCTATCTAATTCTCTTTAACTCTATCTAATTCTATCCAATTCTATCTAATTCTATCTAATTCTATCTAGTTCTATCTAATTCTATCTACTTGTCTGTCTATATCTTGGCGGAACCTCTTGGCTTGAGAGACCAGCTGATTTTGGATGTTTTTGCCCACGAAGTGTCATTGCTTCTTCTTACATTTTCATGGAAAATCGTCCCTGTGGATGTTCAGCAAATCACTACGCAACGATATTTTGGAACATTATATGGTTGACAGCCCTTCTCGCATCTGCACTGTCCCTTGGAAGGCTACAACTGTTGTTGACCTTACGCAGTGCTTGGATCCAACCAGACAACTTCACTCTAAGCGCCCTTACGGTAGCAGCAGACTGGAGGATTGCTGGGAGTTTTTTTTCTTGGCTTTCTGGCTTACCCCACAATTTTTTCCATGACTGGTTCAGAGTCAAGTAGAGCAGCACTTTTAATCATGTGATGTGTTTCCTCACCCGTTGTTTTGTTGACCAACAATGAAACGCGTTGGAACCTGCTGTCGAGTCCATGGACTGCCGTGCCAGCGCCAACCTGGAGTTCTTTTCGGCTCTGGTGAAAAGCATTTAATCACCGAGCCACCTTTAACAGAAAGGGTTTGCAAGAATTTCCCAAGCAGCGAGAGCGCCCAGGAATCAACATTTATGTACGCGCAAGACACACATACACACATCCAAAACACATCCTGCCGACCGTTTCGACCTGCCCTCGTCGTGGCAGTCATGGGCTGGGACTCTGATGATGACTGGGAGAACGAGAACCTCGAAGAGAAATTGGAGAAAAATCGAGTAGCGAAAGAGAAAGCTCAGAAGCGTCTGGAGACAGGTGAGGACGAGAGCAGTGAGGAAGAGGAGGAGGAGGAGGAGGAGAAAAAAGAAGTGCCCAAGGCCAAGAAGAGTACCTGGGAAGACAGCGATGAGGAAGAAGAGGAAAGGCCAAAAGCAGCCCCAAAAGCGCAGCCCCAAGCATCTGACGATGACGAAGGGTGGGAAGACTTGGAAGATGAAGACAAGATTGAAGAGAAGCTGATGGCGCAGCAAAAAGAGAAAGAGAAGCAGCGCAAGCGTGATGCCGGTGAGGACACCGAAAGTGAAGGAGAGAAAGAGGTGAAGAAAGAAGAAAAGCCCAAGCCTGCGCCCAAGAAGAAGGGGCCAACACAGAAGGCTGAGGACGAAAAGCCCAAAGTTGATCCTGATCAGGTTAAGTTGGCTGATCCCGAAGCTGAGAGGGCACGTTTGAGGAAATTGGAGGAGGAGAGAGATGCGCGGCTGGGAATGGATTTGTTTTCTGGCTTTGAAAAGAAGGAGTCCCTGCTCGAGAAGGAGAAGCGTGAAAAGGCAGAGGCAGCAGCTGCGAAGAAAGCCGCAGCAAAACCAAAGGCCACTGTCATTGACGAATTCGACAATTTGGAGTTGAAGCTGAGCTCAGATGTGGATTCGCTGTGTGCAAAGTGCCTGAACAAGTTTGAGACTTCTACTCTCCAAAAGGGAGGACCGCAAAGATTCCTGTCCAACCTCATCAAGAGTTTGGAAAGCAGCTTCGACACTGCAGATTTGGACAGCTTGGAGAAAAGCTTGTCGCAGCTTATCAAGGACAAAAAGGCGACAAAGGCCAATTCCACCTTGACGAAGGACAACAAGGCCTCCACAAAGATCAACAAAAACACCAAGTTCAACAAGCAGTCTGAGTGGGAGGATGTCTACGGAGGAGGTGATGATGATGAGGACTGGACGCAAGAAGAGTGGGATGCCTGGTATGCAGAGCAGGAGAAGTAGTGCGAAATGTGCGAATGCCGGGCACGAGTGAACTGCTCGCCGCACTGAGAATTGAGCACGACACTTGCGGTCACTTCTTGTAGTCACTTGCGGTTGCAGACCGAACGATGAAGCCAGTGAGGGAGCACTAGAGCTCTGCTGCCGTGTGGCTCTACAGTGCTTAAGGTAAACCTCCATGTCCCGGAAGGCCAGCGCAAGCAGACTTATGGACTTATGTTGAATTATCGTAATGAAAGCAGGTCACATTTTTTTTAGCGTCAGAAGCAAAGTCATAATATCCATTTATGCACTTCGCTAGCAGCTAGCATTTGGACACAAGCTTGCGTTTGAGGGATGTACAGATCGATAAGGCCACCGCAGACACGGAGTCTGATCTGTTGCAGTTTGGATCTGACCAAGAGTTGTTTCACTTGGCGGGCTTGAGGGATTGCTCCAAAACAAAAGAGAACATGGAAAAAAGGGCAAGCGATGCCTTGCCTTGCAACTGCGAATCTTGAATCGAGGGAATTTTCAGCCTTGGTGGGAGCACAGGATGAGTTGCTTCATTTGCACATTCTGTCCATGACTGTGTGTGTTTATGCGCAAGGAAATAGACTTGATATATTTCTTGTCCGCATTGATTGCTGGGGTATTTACCTTGGTTGAGCCTGCACAACTTCGGAGGACTTCACTAGAACTGCGTGATTTGTGGCAGTTTGGTGCGCCCAATGATATCAGCACTGCAGCGCTGCTTACAAGTCTTGAAGCTTTGGCCAATGGTGTGAAGCCACTGTAAGTAGGTTCCTTGTTGCGAGCTTGTGTTAGTTGATGTTAGTTGCCAGCTTGAGGTTGCAGGGATGGGTGAAGCAGTGAAGATGCACTTTTCCTCTGACAGATTCTGACAGATTCTGTACTTGATCCAAGGACAGGGAACGCCAATGGCAGATGGCCACAGCAATGCTGGCAAATGTCCAGGCACGTGCGACTGATGCCATTCTCCATGTTGGGATTGGGACAAACTGAGGCTCGCCTTGAAATTGCTTTGAATTAAAACGGGGATGAGACATGCCACAACAACGCGTCGTGTCTTTGCCCTCAAACTCGGGTTCTGAACTAAAGATCTTGTTAGGTTCACTCACAAACATTTGTTGGATATGGTCTTTGTGGTCGTGTTGGTCGTACAGAAGTTTTCTCATCGTATTTTCTGTAGGATTTCCACCTGACAAGACTCAAGGAGTCAAATGCGCATGGACACGACGCGGGACACAGCAGGCCCTGGGCCTCTTGGAGGTCATGAGCTTCAATGCAGCACGGTGGCTCAGTCTCGTCTGAGGCTGCTGAGGATGTACTCGGTGTACTCGGTGTACTCGTCGTTTGCTGTCGTTTGCTGTCGTTTGCTGTCGTTTGCTGTCGTTTGCTGTCGTTTGCTGTCAGGCTGTAGCAGCTTGTGGAAATGCCAAAGTTTGGATGCAGAGTCTTCAGCTATTTACCTCGAGGACTGTGCTGCCATAACCACAATTTGAGATTGAGAAAGTCTAGCGCACGGAACACGTGATGTCTTCCAGATTTCAAAACAGAAGCAATGTGAACCTGGCTATAACCTTTCTTGGCCTCGAGCACCAGCGCCTTCAAAGTGGAATTGACAGAAGTAAATCGCAGGCGTCTTGGGGTCGTGTACAGGACATCACTGAGCTTGTTTTCAATGCTTCCATTGCGCTCTTTGGGGAGCGTGTTGTCGGCCCTTGGCGATGCACAAGAGTGGGAGAGGCTTCGACAATGTCATGGCAGTGCAAAAGTTTCAAGAATTAGGGCCAGTGCCATGGCCGGCAGGGCGTTTGGCATGTTCAACGAAGCCAAGTTCAGGAATGTGTACACCTATGGTTGGATGCCCAGCTGGACTCCTTGCGAGTGCCTGGAGCAAGATCAACCGAGAGGGGCGCTCAAATCATCGCCGGACACTCTGAGGTGCTGCCATTACGGCCTGTGCCGCAGGAGAATGCGGAGAATGTCTGAACAAACGGCAAGTCTTCCACCTCATGTCACGTCGCTGACAGGTCAAGTGAATTTAACGGTATTCTGGTCGCTTCGCGACGGCAACCGCCCGCACCAGAGTATTAGCTCCGAAGTTCCAATAAAACCGTATGTGTTCTATGTTGGGCCTTTGTAGGGCTCATGTTGGGGGTATGTTAGGCACATGTTGGCTCTATGTTGGACTGTGTTGGGCCCATGTTGGGCCATGTTAGGCCTATGTTCCGCCCATGTTGGGCCTATATTGGCCCTATGGTGAGGCATGTTGGACCATGTTGGGCCTGTGGACCAAATTGGGCCCATGTTGGGCAGGTGTTGGGCCCATGTTGGGCCATGTTGAGCCCAAGTGTTTGGCAACTCAAGTAACTTAGGCTATTTGAGGTCCCTTTAAAAAACGTGGAAAAACATAGGATTCTAGAGCAATAAAGGCCCCCCCAAGCTAAAGCTTAATAGCTATTGCAATGTTTCCGGTTAATGCGTGCCCACCAAAAAACGCCTCGGCACCTTTGGTGCGGGCGGATTTCACGAATATTGCGAGTATTTTGCCATTGTTGTGGCACATTCCAAGCAGTTTGCTGGCTTGGTGTAGGAGGTGCCTCTAGACAAGCGCTCTACTTACTTGACAAGGAAGGGCTCCGGGTTCCCCAACTCTATGGTAGATTTGTTTAATATGAAAACACAGCACAGATTTGCAAATGTGTCCGTTGCTATTCTTGACCGACCAATCTGACTTGTGCTATGTTCTTGAACACATTTGTGAAGAGTCGGGCGATCGTATCTGAAAGTGGAAACATTTGCATATTTGCTTGGTCTCTGATGTCTCTGGGTTTCTCTGACATTTGCTGATGCTTGTTACAAGTTGTTGCTGTGTGGATTTGATGTGTGAAGGCCCGAGCAGACTCCTGCTGCGATGCTGTGGCTGTGAATGCAGCCATCAGTGTAGCGGGCTTGGATTCCTCGAACAGCTTCCTACCTGGGTCATCTGGGTCCTACGTTGGAAACCAAACTTGGAACTCAAGTAGTCCGACGTGCTAGCGCGTCACGGAGCGATATGGTTGGGTGCATGGTGAATCACACGTTTCTCCAATATTTGCATTATGTGCGCGCAGTACAACACATATAAGAAGCAGCGCTGGACGCTACCAATCTCCAATCCATTGATATAAAACAACTCTGTGAGACTCTTGAAGCCTCCTCTGTTGGCAACTTTCTGCTTTGGGCCGACGATTTGGGAGTGTCCCAAACGGATCCCACCGGCTGGGCTTGTCTGGGTTACGTTCAGGTTTTAGGTGCTGAGGTTGGATGGGTTCGGGTCAAGGTCGTAGGGGTAGTCAATCTAAATTGGGCAGCTGCAGTTGAAACTTCCGTGACATGTTTCAAATCTGCCAACCTCTGTTTGACTGTGTGGTTTTGCGACGTTTCTTGTCCAATCCGCTCAGGCGTGCCGATCCAACTGGGTACTTAGTGTGGCGTTGCTTGGCAAAATTCTGTGAGGGCGGACTTCAGGTTGAGGCTTCCAGGACTCAAAGTGTGTTCGCATGCTTACTTGGTCAACCAAGTGTGGCAATCAAACTTCTTGCCATGAGACAAGGCTTTTGGAGCAAGCAATCGCTGAGCGATTGGCAACCATGGTGAGTTACTCCGCAGCAACTTGGCTAGATGCGCTGACACCATCGTTTGCCCAAGAATTTAAATGAGAATTGCACGATGACAGGGGTTCATTACCATTTAGGGTGGGTTGGGGGGGTTATCCTGATTGTCGGTCATCCTTACATGAAAGATTCTTCAACCAACTACCTTCACTAATCAATACCATTTAGGTTTGGGGGCGGGGATTAGGGAGCTTTCCTGATTGTTGATCATCCTTACATGAGAGATTCTTCAGCAAACTACCTTAGAGTAACATAGAGTAACTACCTTCACCAATCGTTGCCATTTACGTCTGGGGGGGGTTGTGGGGTGTATCCTGATTCTTGAGTCACCGCGTTCCACGTTGTATGTTTGCTCGTGATGATGACAAAGATGATGAAAATCCAGATGAAAATGAAGAAGAAGATGATGATGGTGATGATGATGATTATGATGATGATGATGACGATGATGATGATGATGATGACGACGACGATGATGATCCTCCTTCCGGGTCCGGGCAAGCGATGGCGTTCAACCGAAACATTACTATGATTCACTATGCCATTTATGCTACAGTTGTCTCAGCCCCGTTGTGAAACAGGAAGAGTTTGGCTGAAAGGATGATTCGTCGGGAGCTGGGCTTAGGTGATGACTGCCTGCGACCGGTGTGAGCAGCCCCACAAGGCCATGAAAGAGACACAGGATTTAAGTCACAGTCACGCCCTTTAAAACACACATATTCGGCATATTCTATGCACATTCTTTGATTTCTTTAATTTTTTGTTTTTCTCTTTGGACAAAACACATCTCTTTTCAACAATACCTTTGTGTTTTGCTTCGGCTAGACAAGCCAGGTCTTTGCGTTTTTCTTCAGCTAGAAAGTCAGTAGAAACAACACATCGCACGACATGATATTGACACTTTTGCAGGATTTCGTTTGATCGCCCAAGGTACTGAAACAACTGGTACAACTGGTACAACAATTTTTGATCAGCTCTGACTTTGATTGAATAGATGCAATGTGAGACCTATGGCAGAAGCGCCAGTTCAACGGAGTCAGTTCAAACTGGCTAAGGTGGTTTGTATGGTTGACAGCTCCTCTTTGATTAGGTGGACAGGCTTGAATCGGCCCAATCAGACAATATGTAGTTTAGTGCCTCCCTTGATGGATATATAAATTTTCGCAGTTTCTTCTGACGCAGCATGATTCTGCGAAATTGGGGAACAAGGATGTCATGTTGAATCCCCAACTAGTAAACACTAAACGGTGACCTCGCATATTTCGAAATTTCGATACTGGGACGATTTAGCATCTTGTGGCCACCAGGACTTCAGTAGTAGCTTTAACTTGATTAGAGTCAATGCCTTTAGCTGCCAATGCAGAAGCAACAGCAATTTGCCCCTGAATTTGTGATCTGAAAGCGTGCCAGTACAAGAATCACTTGAGAAAAGACTACTTGCTCAGTAAGGCGTGCAACATATTGTTCAATCAAATGAACAACAAAGCTTTCCAGTCTAACCTAAATAAATAAATAAACAAATAAATAAATAAACACATAAATAAACAAGCAAATAAATAAACAAACAA